TTCTGCTGACCCTGTGCCCTGTCCTCAGGCTGTGCCTTCCAGCCTGGCCCCTGGAGAGGAGCTGCAGGTGAGTAAGGCTGGGGCCCAGGCAGGTGCTGTGGAGAGCCACTGTGCTGGAGGCTTCTGGCTGACTTGGCCCCAAGTGTTGCCTGCAGTGGCTGTTCCCAGGGCCCAGGGGCTCCTGTGGCTGGATCTCTGCACCAGGGCAGCTCTGCCCCACTCACGCTGTGCCTGGCACACAGGGAGGCTGAGCTGGGAACCCCCTGAGCCTGGTATCCTGCCCTGGCTAGGTGGCATCCCCTTGTGGGCAAGGCAGTTGCAGCCCATCCCTGCAGAGCTATGCAGGCTGGGCCAGGCTTTACATCGGGTACTGCTGGGTGCCCTCGCCCACCTGCTGCGGCCCGAGTCTGTGGAGACCCGAGGTAGTACCCATTTCTCACCCAGCTCCCTGTCTCTTCTGGCCATCACCTTCGCAATGGCCCAGCCAGGATGGCCTCCCTATGGCGCTTCCCTCCATGCCTGCTTCTCACCGTACTGCCTGGACCCTGCCCCAAATGCCTGGCCCTGGTACTGGACACCCTGGGTCTTTCCCTACCCAGATAAGATGGGGTGTCTGTCTGCCTCAGCCCCAACTGGGCCCTCCTTTCCAGCCCTGGGCCTGGGCTCCCCCCACTTTGGGACTGCTGGGGAGGGTCTGAGCACCCGAGCCCTGACGGTTGCTTCTGGGGTGTCGATGCCTCCATCCTCCAGACTGCCCTGGACCAGCAGGCCTGAGCCGCAGCTGGTAGCAGTGGAGATGTGGGTGGTGAGGGACATACCATCTTTCTCACTTTCCTTTTTTCTCTCTCTCTTTCTTTCTCTCTCTCCTCATTTTCTTTCTTTTTCTTATTCTTCTTTTTCTTCTCTTCTCTTTTTTCTCTCCTTTTTTCCCCTCTCTTCTCTCTTTTTTCTCTCTTCTCTTTGTCTTTTTATTCTCCCCTTCTTTTTCTCTCTCTCTTTCTTCTTTTTTCTTTCTCTTCTTTCTCTCCCCTTTTTCTCTCTTCTCTTTTTCTCTGTCTCCTCTTCTTTCTCTCTCTTTTCACCAACTTTAGAATTTTTAGAAAACCTGGTATTTACTGTGTGTAGTAAAAAAAAAAAAAAAAAAGCCGCAATATTTACGATTATTAACTATGTTAATATGCAGTACATCCTGCCATGTCTGTGTGTGTCGTTCCACCGCCCCCCCCCCTCCCCCCACCAGTTTTGTTTTTCTGACATGCTGGCACTCTGACATCTTACAAAATAGACATTGCAGTTTTTTCAGCACTCGGGCAAAAAAAGTTGCCTACTCCTGGTCTAGCTCCATCTTCTTCGGAATCACCCTTCAGGTACTTGAAGGCTGCTATCAAATCCCCTTTTAGTTTTCTCTTCTCCAAACTAAATAAACCCAGTTCCTCCAAACTAAATAAACCCAGCCTCTCAGAAGTCATTTGCCCGAGCCCTAGAACCATTTTTATTGTTCTCTGCTGAACTCTTTCCAACTTGTCCACATACTTTCTATAGTGTGTGTGTGTGTGTGCGTGCGTGCGCGCGCAGTGGAGGGGTGGGGGGGGCAAAACTGGACACAGTATTCCAGATATGGCCTCACCAGTGCAGAATAGAGCTGAATAATGACTTCCCTTTATCTTCTGGCAGTGCTTCTATCCCAGTATGTCCAGTATGCTGTTAGCCTTCTTGGCAACAAAGGCACACTGCTAACTCATATCCATCTTATTGTCCACTGTAACCCCCAGGTCCTTTTCTGCAGAGCTACTGCCCAGCTATTCAGCCCCCAGCCTGTACTGGTGCATGGGATTGTTCAATCCTAAGTGCAGAACTTTTCACTTCTCCTTGTTGAAGCTCGTGAGATTGGAGGACTGGGCACCAAGCAATTTGTCTAGGTCACTCTGAATCTTAGTCCTGCTCTCCAGTGTATATACTTACACCCCACAGCTTGGTGTCATCCATGAACTTGCTGAGGGTGCAATTCATAGCATCTTCCAGATTGCTAATGAAGATATTGCACAAAACTGGCCCCAGGAACGACCCCTGGGGTACTTCACTTGATACTGGGTGCCAGCTAGACATTGAGCCATTGATTACTACCCACTGAGCCTGACAATCCAGCCAGTTTTCTGTCTACTTTAACAGTCTTCCTCCAACCCATACTTCCATACTAGCATTCTTGCAAGCAAGCTGAAGGAGACGGTAAGCCTTGCTAAAAGCAAGGTATGCTACATCCACTGCTCTTCCCACATCCACAGAGCCAGTCATCTAGTCATAGTAGTCAATCAGGTTGGTCAGGCATGACTTGCCCTTGGTGAATCCATGCTGACTGTTCCTGATCGCCTTCTTCTCCTCCAAGTGTTTAGAAATGGACTCTTTGAGGACCTGATCCATGATTTTTCCGGGGACTGAGGTGAGGCTGATTGGTCTGTAGTTCCCTGGATCTTCTTTCTTCCCTTTCTTAAAGATGGGCACTATATTTGCCCTTTTCCAATTGTCTGAGATCTCCCCTGATTGCCACGTGTTTTCAGAGATAATGGCCAGCGGCTCTGCAATCACATCAGCTGAGTCCCTCAGCATTCTTGCATGCCTTGCATCTGGCCCCATGGACTTGTACACAACCAGCTTTTCTAAATAGTCCCTAACCTGTTCTTTCACCACTGAGGGCTGCTGACTTCCTCCCCAAACTGCATCGCCCAGTGCAGTAGACTGGGAGCTGACTGTGTAAAGACCAAGGTAAAAAGGCATTGAGTACTTCAGCCTTTTGCTCACGATCTGTCACTAGGTTCCTTCCACCATTCAGTATGCCCCATACTTTCCCTGACCTTATTCTTGTTGCTAACATACTTGTAGAATACATATGTACATCTATGTATTAATGGTCTTTCATTTTAATCATGAAAAAATGTGGATTTTGGGTTACTTTTTTTAAATCTGAAAATTGGGGATTCTTTTTTTAATCGGAGAAAACCAGGATCCCTGATCTACTCATGGTCACTGCTGCCCAACTTGCATTTACTTCTACATCCCTGTTTGTGAACAGTAGGTCAAGAAGAGCACCACCCCTAGTTGGTCCCTCCAACACTTACACCAAGAAGTTGTCTCCAATGCTCCAAAAACTTCCTGGTTGCCTGTGCACTGCTGTTTTACCCTCCCAGCAAATGTCACAGTGATTGAAGTCCCCCATGAAAACTAGGGCCTGTGATCAGGAAACTTCCTCATGTTGTAATGCATTAATATATTTTAAAAAAATTATAGTCCACTTCATTGGTAGATGAACTGCAGGATTCACAGATTCATAGATGTTAGGGTTGGAAGGGACCTCAATAGATCATCGAGTCCGACACCCTGCATAGGCAGGAAAGAGAGCTGGGTCTAG